ATAGTATTGGGTCTTCCGCTTGACTGACAATGTCAGAAATTGTTGACCTGAGTCCCCTACAGCTCAACATAACAGCATGGCTTTACTTCTTATATTTCTTTTTTATACGTTTCTGCTGGATGGTTAAGACCAAGGTAAAGCAGGACCTATGCAACAAGAGTTGTAGCTTTTGGTTTAAACTCTGTATTCTTGACCTGCTCCTTAATTATAAGATACTGATCTATTTATTTTCTGAGTGGAGAGATCTTAAATGTAAACAGTTACCAGAGCTGTAAGAGTAACTTGATGTCAAAGAATGCAGGTCTAATCTGAGGGAGATCACAGTCTTCATTACATAATGGAAGTGGAGGAGAGAGAAAACCTTGCCTGGTGCAGGGAAAGTGCAGTCGGCTTGTCTCAGCTTTGGCTGGCGTCCAGCATACGGAGCAGAGAGGCACAGAGTCTCAGCGTTGCAGGGAGGAGTTGGCATCCAAATGAGAAAGATTTTTCCCCTTAGCAAACCTTTTCCACATTACTACTCTATGTGAACCCCCAAGTTTGTGGTCACTTGCAGGGGCATCAAGGACATTCCAACCACACAGGAAAAACAAGTTGAGTCCCTCGGATCTGATAGGAAACCTGCACCCCAGCGTTTTCCTGAGACAGTTTTGCCATGCTTCAGGACTTCAGGTTTAGGGGTGCTGCCTTGACATGAAAAAAACTAAAAACTCATCCATGTGTAAACTAACTTTGATTATTAAAAATGTAGCCTAAAAGTAGTAGTTTATTCATTCCTTAGAATGTGTTAGAAAAGGGTAAGAAAAAAATTTTTTTTAAATAAAAGGGTAAGAAAAATAAAACCCAGATTTTAAAACATGGTTACTTCTGTAAATATTGTACATTCAAAAAATAAACATTTGTAAAGATCTGTGAGCATTTTGTGAGTGTGTAGAAGCACATACAATCATTTTAGATGATGACACGTGCCTGGGACCCCCAGTGCTCAGCCTGGACGCTGAGGCAGGAGGACTGAGTTCAAGGCCAGAGTGGGTTATGTCATGAGAACTTTTTTAAGAAAGCAAAAAGCAATCAAAAACTCATTAGAAGTATAAGTAGCTAGTCATTTCAAAATTAAATTCTAGAGTAGTTCTAATTTATATCCAGTTCTTTTTAATAAGTAATGTGTTTATAAATAAGTTTTATTTTCAAAATACTAATTTAGCAAAATCTAACATTGCATTGGCAGTTATTAGTATATTTAATCAAGTTTTTGTTACAAGCATATGATTTTTGAACACTGGAGTATTATAAAGTAACAATATTAAATACTGATTTCACTGGCCACAAGTGTTTTATTTTGCATTTAGTGTATTTTATTTTGCACATGTCCTTGTCTCACTGGAATGTGAAATGCTTTGTTTCTTGCTTTACTTCACATTTCCAGGCTACTATTTAATGAGTCTAGTTGTTTATTTAGAAAAAGTGATGCATTTTACAGAGCACGTGAAAGAGAAAATTGAGTTTCACCTGGCAACTGTTCAGGTTTCGCTGATAGAATGCTGTGTCCTGCTTTTTTTCTAGTCTTCCGTATAAAGAGTTCTTTGGTGGTGTAAGTGGACTGACGGTGGAACAGTTTAGAAAGATCAATGGTTTTCCTAATGCCTTCTGGGGATGGGGAGGAGAAGATGATGACCTTTGGAACAGGTATGTTAAGATACAAATCACTTAAAAGTAGAATTTCTAAACTTGTTGTCTGTTAGGTAAACCATACTTAACCTATTCCCAGCAAGGAGTCTTTAGGATGGAGAGCTTGGAAGTTCCTAAATCCTTTTTGCATTTTTTTCTTTCATAAAGAGTTTCTTCTGAAATTCTTGGCAGCATACACATTAGAGAACCCTTTTGCATCTTTGAAATTGAACGCACGCAATCCATTTCTACGTATTTCTATGCTGTGTTGCAGAGTTCACTATGCTGGCTATAATGTAACCAGACCTGAGGGAGATTTAGGGAAATACAAGTCTATTCCTCATCATCATCGAGGGGAAGTCCAGTTTTTAGGACGGTAAGTTTAATGTCATTTTCAGATACCAAAACTTTTCAAAGCTGTTTAATATATACAGGGTTAAAAATACACTGCACCCTGCCCTCAGCCTTAGCACCTTCTCAGAAATCTCTGTGTCACGAAAGCTGAGGTGAGCTGTTTCTAACCCGAGCTTTGGCGGTAGGAGGTGGCAAGGAGGCAAAAGACAGAAGTGGAAACTGGGAGACCAATCTCTTCCACATGGGATGGGAGCTAAGAGGTGGAGGGAGGGAAGGGGAAGGGAAGAGGGTTAGAGGCCTTGTGTGCACCTGCTGGCTCCCCACAAGGAGGACAGTCACTGTGTGCTGTTATAAATACACACTAAGAAATACTCTGTACCCCCAAAAATTCTGCTGAAGAGAATTTTATTTATGGAAGGAAAACATTTTTGTGCTTGTTTTAAAGATGTGTGTAGGGGCCGGGGAGATGGCTCAGTGGAATAAGCGCTTCCCTGGCAAGCACAAGGGCCTGAGTTCAATCCCCGGTTCTGCCAAAAAATAAAAATAAAAAATAAAGAGATGTGTGTATATACATACATATTTAATGTTAAAGAATCCAGTTAATTGTTTAGTTTTAGAATGTTTTCCTTTTTTTTATGAAACATTTTTATTTCTGTAGGTTATATTGCATTTTATTTCTTTTTTTTGACATCAGTTATTTTATTTTAAAGAAAAAAAATAAAAACAATGGTACAAAATCTCAAAACAAGATTTTAGGAGAGTAACAATGGTTAGTACGTTGTGTATTGTTATTGCCAAAGTAGTTTCTCATATTATAGAATGTTTTCTTAACATGTAACACTTTCTTTAAGGCTAAGTTGTCAGACACAAAATGGTTTTTTTTTTAAGCTGGGATTTTTTTTCACCAGTAAAAATCCCATTTAAAAATGAATGATCTAGAGATTTTTTTAAGGTTACACACAAGAACCTAAAATTGTAAAGAGCTTTATATGCTTTAATTATAAGATGTCCTATATAGAACATACTTTACCTAAGTTTTCCCTTTTTGCACTTGTTTTCTGTAACTTTTTTGTTTTTTCCCTCTAACACTGTAGGTATAAATTACTAAGGTATTCTAAGGAACGCCAGTACATTGATGGGTTGAACAATTTACTGTACACTCCAAAACTACTGGTCGACAGGTTGTATACAAATGTATCTGTAAACCTCATGCCAGAGTTAGCTCCGATCGAAGACTATTGACAGCAGGAGCCTGTGGACCACGGCGCGGCCAGCAACCTGGGGTGCACACGTGGCGGAAGTCAGCGATTGGCTGTGTCTCCATGCGCTGACTGCGGGAAGAGCCAGCCGTCCTCTTTGTTTACAGCGTGCGACTCGATGCAGCCACCCTCCTCTCCCTCTGCTGAGGGATGCTCCCATGATGAGCGCTGCAGAAATAAAGCTGTTGCTTAAGATTGGAAGCTAAAAGGGATCCCTATGAAGAGAAAATTTTTATATGAAAATCTATAATTCAAGAGAATGCTTTTATTTCTGTTTAAACTTATTTTGTACATGTGATGTAAATTAATGTGTTCAAATTGTTTAAAAATAAGATGTGTCACAGTTTTGCATGTAATCAATTATGCCTCTATTGGACTTTTTTAGACATTTTTTTAATTTGCATGGGAATAAAAAACCCTGTAATTTTATGTCAATAAACAAAGGTTAGCCCTTGTGTGAAATGAAGGAACTGTCAATAATTGACAGCAGACTAATATGGTAAACTGTTACACTAGTTTTCAGCTTTAGACCTTCAGCGTCTCGTGGAAGAAGCCACAACATTCTGAGGGCTTTAAAGGGAGAAAAGAAAGGACTTCCACGCTTTTCTTCCTGCCAGGATACCTTTTCTCCTCGCCTGCAGTCTCATCAGATTTTGCTAAATAACAACCATATTGTTTATGCATATTGCATGAGTATTACCGAAACCTTAAGAGTTGTGATGTGACATGATCTACAGGACCTCTATGGTAAATACCTTCTATGTATCTCTGGTGTAAGTGTCAGGGATTTTGTGCCTCTACAATTGTTCCCAAGGTTGTGTGTTTATACACTGTGTGTGTGCATTTTTTTTAATTATAGCACTTTTATTATTTTCAGTTCAGAAGAGCCAAAAATAACCTTCATTAAAAAATTAGTTTTTTCTTTTTTTAAAGAATGAGCTGTGAAAACCCAGTAGTACTTATACAAATGAATTATACTATTAGATAAAAAATTAAATGTTCTATTTTTATGAATGTAAATGCTTAGTAAAAACAAATTTAAAGTTTTAATTCTGACTTACAGAATTTCACTTTTGAAAGGAACCCTTTTAATATAAGCAGTTAAATTCAAATTATATTTTTTCCACTTTCAAGAAATCTTTGATGTTATTAAAATTTCCTCACTAAAAGTATAATTTGATAAACTATCATAAAATACATTCAGTTATTTAAATGAACTATTATAATATATACTTCTGAAAACAGGTACTTATTTCCTGATAAACAAGTATTTTTATCTTAAAATTCGATGAAATTTTCTGAGGCAAAACCTAACAACAGTTGTAATTTGAAAAGTATTAATTAGAAAGATCCTTTAAAATATTTTACAGTATTTTACAAATTAAAACTAAAAAAGGTAAATCTTGAACATGACAAGTAATAGATTTCTATATATGAGAAATGTTTGGATAAAATTTGCCTATTATTCAATTAAAACAAATTGGTTATTTATCTCAGGTTTTAAGTTTAATTTTCAAGTGTCATTTTCTATGACAGTTTTAGTAACAGAAATGACCATAAACCAAAATGCAAAATAATTGAAATTCTTATAGTTTGAAAAACCTTATAGCCTCTCTTTATGATGCCAAACAGAACTGTTTTTTATTTATTTATTAGAAATATTTCCAAAACAT